GACACACACCTCTCCCGTGGGACACTGGACCCTGAGTAGGGACAGAACATACTATTTTGGTTCAAGTTCCAAGAAAGGCACTTCCTGTGCCCCCGCCCTGCCCCCAGCCTCATCCTGTCTTCCTGTCACCCTGCACAGGGAACTGGCCTGGCCCCAGCGGCCCCACCTCCTCTGAGCATCAGCCGGGGAGGCAGGGGCTCTGGGGGCGGCAGAAGCAGAGACTCCATCTCAGCAGGAAAACATCCCTGGCTCTGGGACAGCCTCGAGTTCTGCCTCAGCCCTGGCACGAGCCTCCCCTGGCAGGGCCATTTGGGTCTGTAACCCTGTCGGCACCGACAAGGCCAGGCCAGACCCAGCCCCTCGGGGCCTCTGGGGTACACTCTGACCGTCTGCCCCAGGGCCCAAGCTAGGCCCTGAAGGTCGCTTGTCTTGTTCCCTCACCCACCCTTGACCTACCCCTTGCTAAAGACACCCAGCTGTTGAGTCCGGGAAGGCGTGGGGTCAGGGGCCCAGGCCCCGGGGTGGGGTGGACGGGAGGGGCCGATTGTCTCATCCTAGGGCTCAGCCCTGTGTCCGGAGGAGTCCCTCCCAGGATCTGGGCCCAGCAGACAGCCCTTTGGGCCCTGCCACCCCCTCGGAAAGCCCCCTCCCAGACTCAGGGCTGGTTCTGGATCTAGGACCCTCAGGTCCAAAGCCGATCCAGGCTCCCAAAGCTGTGCGGTCCGTGGGCCAGTGCCCCCTCCCAGACCACCCCCCCAGGCCTTCCGTGAATCACCCCTTCTGGAATCTGATGAGCTCAGGCCTTCCCTCCCAGCACTGCCTCCCTCTCTGCCGGCCTGGCCATCGGGTCCCAACTCAGCCCCCACCAGGGTCCGGCACCGGGGGCAGGGGGTATGGGTGTGTGGGGTGTAGGTGTGAAATTGGCCAGGAGAGGGCTTTGGACCTCCTCTCTGATCAAAAATAGAGATTGTGTGTCTGTGTGTGTCCTTGTGTGTGTCTCTGAGTCTGAGCGGGTCCCTCCCTGTGTGTTTGTCTCCATCCCTGTGCGTGTCTCCATGTCTCTGTGTGTCTCTGGGTTTGTACGTCTCTCTGTGTTTGTCTCTGTATCTGTTTATGTCTCTGAGTCTGTGCGGGCCTCTGTGTGCCTCCACCCCCGTGTGTGTCTCTGAGTCTGTGCGGTTCTCTGTGTGTTTGAGCCTCCATCCCTGTGTGTGTCTCTGTGTGTTTGAGCCTCCCGTGCTTGGCAGACTGGGAGGGGAAAGCCCATGCACTGAGTCCTGGGACAGTGTATGTGGCCCTGTCTGAGCGCGGGGTTGGGATCCCCGTGGTGGTTCTGCATGGGCAGGTGAAAGTGTGTCAGGCAGGCAGTCCCTAGGTAGCAGGTCTCCCTGGGACTCTGTTTCAGCTTGTCTCTGGGTATGTGGCAGACTGTCCCATGTGTGTATCATCAGCATGTCACCACGTGTCTGTGTCAGCTTGCCACTGGGTATGTGTCAAGGAGTCACTCTGAGCCGCAGAGGGAGGCTGCGTGTCTGGCATGTGAGTGGGTGTTTGGCTTGTGTCAGGGTGTGGCTCGGTGCAGAAAAGTCACCGTGTCCTGTCCCACAGGGGATGAGTGGCTAACGGTGCCCGTGTGTGCCTAACACTGTGGGTGTTCCTGGGGACATGGGTTTGTGGGGGCTCCTGGGACCACAGTAGTATCTATCACACACTGTGAATGTGGGTCAGGGTGTCTCTGTGTGTGATTATGACTGTGTGTCAAACTTTGGGAGGGACGTGGGTTATGAGGCCATGGTGGGGTGAGTCAGAGTGTTGTCCCATGTGTGGCCAGTGGAGGGGTGTGGGGAAATGTGAGTGACCGTGGCAGTCACACTTTAGGCATGACCACAGGAGTGTCCACCAAGGTGTCCTGAGGTCCCTAAGCCCCCTCAGTGTGGGTTTCAGTGACTGGGTCCTTCCCCACCATGCCCGGATCCCCTCTCAGGCCCTCACCACGGACCGGAACTCGTTCTGGGGTGGAACCCAGCTCGGGTGGACGGCCCCTCCCTCATCTGCAGGACCCTACTCACAGGACGGCCCTGGGACCTCACTGCGGGGCTGCTCCCTCCCTGAGCAGCCTGAGCTGGGCTTTCTGAGTCCCCTGGGTGGCCTCCTTGGAGAAGGAGGAATACGGCCTACGGCTGGGAATGGGGCACGCTCACCCCCTGGTGGCAGCAAAGGAGGATGCACCGCCCGCGCTCCAGGAACCGCAGGCAACGTTCCGGCTGAGTCTTCCCATTGGGATCACACCACATGTATCGACTCAGCGCCAACTCCTGGCAGGGCATCGTTCTAGGCCTCGGAGAGTGAGCTGGGCACAAGGCCGACTTGGCGCTGGCATTCTGGTGGGGGACACTGACAATAAACAAAAACACACCCCAGTAACTTTAGGTGATAAACGGCAAGTGGCTAATGTGAGGAAATGACTGCTCCTCGGGGTCCTACTGAGGAAGACAGGTCACCTGCCAGAGCCTTGGCTTCTTCTCCCACAAGGACAAAGGTGGGTGATGGTGGGGAGGCATACAATACCAAGACCAGGTGTTACGGAGTTGATTCTGACTCATGGCAACTCCATGGATGTCCAGGTAGAACTGCTCTACAGGGCTTTCAATGGGTGATTTTTTGGATATAGATTGCCAGGTCTTTCTTCCAAGGACCCCTGGATGAACTTGAACCACCAGCCTTTCAGTTAGCACTGAAAGCACCTTAATGTTGTGCCACCCAAGGGCTCTATGCAGGCTCTCAGTTACTGCTCAGATCACAGAGCGTGGGGGAGAGAAATGTGACCCGTTTCCATTTGTTTAGGGCCGTGGTGCTTGGTGCACATGGACACACGACAGTTGATTGTTGAGTAAACAAATCTTCTTGTCTTGGAAGATATGGAATCCAAAGATGTGGCCTGGGGTCCAAGCTTTTTGCCTGTCAACAGCCTGTTCCCTGAGCAAGCCTGTTTTCTCCTCCACAGAATGTAGATCCACAGTTAGACCACTTAGACCAGCCTGTCATTGCCTGCCCTGCCTGGACTGGGGCCCCACCCCTGGTATCACGCCCTTGGTCAAGGTGATTCACCAACCCCGGACCTCTGACCAATCAGACCCAGGCAGCAGGCAGCGTGGGGGAGGGCTCCCAGGAGCCAGAAATGCGGACATCTGAGTTCCCAGAGCAGGGGCTAGGGTGGGAGGGGCTTCCAGAGCCCAGCAGCGGGGCTGTTCCCGTGAGACCAGCTCTACATCCTGTCCCTCGGGTTTTCCCAGCACCCCCTGCAGCCACTCCAGGTCCTTCTTCTGGGACTGAACTCGGCCCATCCTGTGTTTGGATCCCGGAGCCCCGCCCGCCCTTAGCCTCCCCTCCCCAGGCTCCCACCTCACTGCCTTTATTCTTAGTTATCAAACTCCCATCAGCGAACTCCATTTATTTAGTGTCTACGGAGTGTTGAGCACTGTCAGGGTGCTGGGGGAGGAGGACATACAGAAGATTGAAGGGGAGACTTCCTGTTGTGTGTGTCTGGGGTGTGGAGGTGGGCTGTATCCGGGTTGTCTGAAAACGTGTAGACACCTGACATGAGTGTTACGTCCCTTTATGCTCAGTGCCTGAGGGACCCTCCCCCATTCTTCCTTCCCAAGGGGTCTAAGGGTCGACCACCTTGAACCCTCCCCCAAGGCTGGTCACCAGGCAGGTGACCGCAAGGCCATTAGGCCCCTGACCGTTCAGGCTGCTGCCGCCAGAGGTGCGCCCTCTTCCGTCACTGGTTCAGCAGCTTCTTGGCCCGTGTGCGCCCTCTTGTGGTCGGCACTATTATTCGCTCAGATTTGCCGCCTGTTCTGGGCATCCCCCACTTAGGGCTGAAGGGCCTTGAGGGTTAATTTGTCAGTGCCTTAGATATGAGGGACCTAGTTTGGGTGGAGGAACCCCTAATGTCTTGCTGGGTGACGTTTAGGGAGTTATTTAAGAACCTTGGTAGGGCCAATAAGTCACGCCCTGCCTTCACCCCAAAAGAGGGCCAAGTGAGTTAAGGGCAGAGAAAATGGTTGCTAAGCTCCTCCCAACTTCAGAACCTTATCTCCCTGCTGGCAGGTACTGCTTCCTCCTGGGGACTGAAAGACGGGGACTGGGTGCTTTCTCCTCTGGAAGGCTGATCTGGAAGATGACATCTCCTGTGGACCGATGGGCGCCCACCACCCAGCCAGAGCCCTGGGCCAGCAGACTCAAGTCTGAGCAGGGCAAGCAAAAGGAACCGCTCCTTCCCAATCAGGAGCTCTGGTGGTGCAGTGCCTAAGGCATCTGGCTGCTAACCAGAAGGCTAGCAGTTCAAACCACCAGCCACTCCTCAGAAGAAGACTGGGCGATCTACTTCTATAGAAATACTGCCTTGGAAACCCGAGGAGGGGTCACTATGCATCAGAAACGACTTGACGGCAGTGAGCTTGTTTTTTTGGTTCCTCTCCAGTCGGAGCTCAGCCTTGCAGCAATGTCACCCCCTCTGACTCCCAGAGATAAGCAGTGCATCCCCACCTCACAGGTGAAGACACTGAGGCTTGGAGGGGCTGCTCCGAGGCAGGGCTGGGCCAGGCCTTGCTGCCAGGCCGTGGCCTTCTTGAAGCCTCCTGACATCCAGGAGTGGTTAGGAGGCTTGGCGCCCTCAGCCTGCTGGGGCAGCTTGGCCAGTAGCCCTAACCTGGGCTGCACCCTGGAGGGGGCCAAAGGGAGCTGGAACAGAGCCCCACCCCCATGGCCAGAGGCAAGGACCCTTGGACACTTGGTCTGGGGCCTCCCAGCTCTCCTCCAATCTCCCAGCAGGTGGGCTGCTGGATAACACCAGACAGGGGTGGTAGCAGACACAGGAGGAGCCAGTGTGGGGTGGCTGAGGCGGCTGTAGCCCTGCTGGGGGCACCGAGGCTCTTACAGGCCTTCCTAGCAGCTCAGTATGCCCCATCCCACATGCTCCTCTGGTCACGTCCAGCTTACTCCTCGGCCGCTTGGCTTCCCTCAGCCTCTGGTCCTTCGGACCCAACAGGGCCTCCCCTGGCCTGACCCTCCCTTCCCTCGACGGTTGTCTCAGCCTCTTGTCCCCTGTCCCTGGGGCTGGCTTTGGCCCCAGCATCTCCTTCTCCTATGGCTCTCTCCTTCTCCTCCCTGCTTCCTGCCTCTGGCCCCGCCTTATTCTCCTCTGTTGCAGTCCCAGGCGGGGACCCCTGGGTCTCAGGTTGCTCTGCCCGGCGATAGACGAGGTAACCAGCTGTGGGAAGGCTGTGGACCAGGACTCCAGGGGGCAGGCGGTGGTAGCCCTGCTCCTTGTACAGGAAGAGGCCGAAAGTGTCAGGCTGGGTCACTCGGAACTTGGTGGCACAGAGCTGGCTGAGGGTACCAATGGAGGCCCCTGGGGGCACAGCCAGGGTCTTGGAGGTGCAGCCACTACTGGGGTCCTGATAGGCTACTCGGAGGAGGTGCTAGGCAGGAGGAAAAGCAAAAACAAGTCCTCAACCCCATCCGGTATAAAGTGCCTGGCGTTAAAGCCTACGGTTATGGTTTAGGCTCTGCAGGGACAAGGGTGGGAGAGATAACTTGGGCGTAGGACTAATTGTCAAAAGCTTTTTGGACCAGATGAGTGTCACGGAGGGCTCTGAGGGAGGGAGAGATGTGGCTAGGCGAGTGGATCACAGGGCTGCGGCTGGAAGGACAGCCCTTGTGGGGCCCTTCCAAACCTAACCATGAAAGGGGACATTAGATGGCCTCACTCTGTGCCAGACACCATGCAAAGCACTTGCCCTGAATTACCTTACTCCTAGGAGGTAGGGCTGATTAACCCATTTTACAGGTAAAAAACATCTGAGACACAAACGGATTAGGTACCTTCCTGAAGGTCTCACAACCAGGAAGCGGTAGAACTGAGAGATGAACCCAGGATCTGGCTACAGAGTGGACCCTTAACCAAAGTTAGGAGGATTCCCCGGACTGGATGGGGAAGAGAGGATGGGCTCTGGCTTGGAGGACACCCAGGCCTGAGCCCAGAGGATGGGAGGGTGGCAGGTGGGCAAGGGCTGGAGGCCAGGTCCCCGCCTGGTGCCTGGTGGGGGCTGGAGGCCAGAACTCTGTGCCTCTTCCCATCTCTAAGTCACCTCTCACCTGTCAAATGGGAACTAAAGGCCCTCTTCCAGCCTCCTATCTGCACTGGCCATGCCACCTCCCCTAGCCCTGCTGCTAACAGGGTCCACCCCCCACTAGATAGACAGGCTAGGCAGTGAAGAATCCAGGGAGGACGCCCCTAAAGCTCACAGTGGAACATTTTCTCTCTAGAAGGGGAGGCCTTGCTATCTGTTCCGGACTGGCTCTTTCTCCTGGCTGGCTCTCCCCGGGAAAAGGAGGGTACTGGCCTGGATGACACCAGACTTCCTCTCATCTGGACAGTTTGGGGGTGCGCCACGTGGAGGGCTCCTTTACCTGGAAGTTGAGGGTGGCTGGCAGGCGGCGCTGCTCCCAGAGGCTGAGGGAGCGCTGCAGCTCCTGGGAGGGGGTGAGGGGCAGGGCATGCGCCTGGTCCAGGCTGCTCAGCAGGGCCAGGCTGGCGGAGAGACTGGTCAGGTAGTAGCCTCCTGGGACACAAGGAGAAGAGGGTGGCTCAGCCTGCAGCTGGCTGACCTGCTCCTTCCTCGCCTTCCCTGATTAACAGGGCCGGGAAGCAGCTATGGAGGCCCCACCCAGACAGGGAGGGTTATGGGGGGGCGCACGTATCCCACCCTCTCCGGGGAGCAGTGCTGGCTCCAGCAGCTCCGACATGTACTCAGCCTCCAGCAGCAAGTCTGGAAGGTCACAGTGAGCCAGGACCAGGCTCAGCAGCGGCAGGAACTCGTCGGCGCCCGCGCCCTCCCCTGCGGAGACACAGCAGAGGACAGGGGTGGTTTCAGGTTCCTCTGGGGTCCCAGGGTCAGGGCCCAGTACTGGTCTGGGGAAGGGACCCCCCCACCAGCCTGCTAGGCCCTCAGGGTGAGTCCTATGGCTGCGGAGAGTGGGGCTCTACTCTCTGCGCCTCAGTTTCTCAGGATGCACCTGCGTGGGTCCTCAGGGCCGTGTAGAGCAGCTTGCAGACCTGCAGGAGGCGCTTGATCTGGGTGCTGGGTGAATAGGTGCAGAGCAGCTGCAACAGCTTCTGACGCACCTGCTCCACCTCCACCGCGGAGGGGAGAGTCAGCTGGGCCCCAAAGGCTCCAGGGCCCTGTGCCCGGGCCAGACGGAGGCCCTCGGCCAGGCGGCCCAGCGAGCCATCAGCCGAGAGCCGGCGCCGCAGGCGGGCAGCCAGGAGGGGCCGGAGAGGCTTGAGCACCGAGCAATGCAGTGACTTCTCTAGAACGTGTTCTGTGGGGAAGATCCAGGCAGGGGTCAGGCAGCCAGGACCGGGTGGGAAGGGCGGGACCAGGCAGGGGGCGGGGGAAAGGAGGAGGAATCTGGGCGAGGGAGAGAGTGGAGGGGAGGTGGGATGGAATCCACTGGAAGAGACGAGAGACAGAAAGACAGACAAGCTGGGCTTGTAAAGTACAGACCAGACCCAGGCGCGAACAGGAGAAGAGAAGCGGATGGGGGAGAGCTGGGAGCCCGGAGAGCCAGGGCCGATGGGGCCTCACCCAGCCTCTCCGGCGGCAGGAGCTTCTCCGGGCCCAGCTCGGCACTCAGCATGGCCCGGGCCCGGCTCAGCGCCTGGCGGACGTCCTGCAGCTCCCGGGGCCTGGGTCCGGTCCGCACCTGAGTTAGCAGGTCTTGCACCAGCTGGCCCACAGCCGTGTGGCGGTCCCGAATCAGTGCCTCGGCCACCCGGGCCACCTGCCGTTCGGGCGCCAGCAGCGAGCAGAAGACGGCACTCATCGAGCGAAGCAGGGGCCGCCGCCGGCGGCCCAGGTCGGGGGAGGTGGCCGGGCTTCCGCGGGCGCCGGGCGCCTCCTCCTCCGAGCTGCTCGGGGAGCCGCAGTCCACCTCCTGGAGGGAGGGCAGCGGCGGGAGGCTGGGGCCGGCGCCCCCTGGCACCCGGTAGCCCACCGAGCTCTCCCTCCGCAGCAGCTGGCGCGGGGGCAGCCTGTCTGGCTGGGTGGGGGCGGCGCCCGGCAGCTCGGGGACCGGGGGAGGTGGCACGGCCGGCGGAGACAGGGGGCTGGAGGTCTCCGTGGACACGCGCACTTTGAAGCTCCTTTTGAATCGCTCCCGCTTGATGGGGCCCAGATCCCCGGGAAACAGGGGGTTGAAGAAGCAGAGGGCGGCACCGGGGCCCTGGTCCAACTCCTGAGAGGCCCAGGGCTTCAGCAAGGGGAGCAGCGGGCCTTCACCGGACCCCCGCGGAGCCTTGGTGTTGAGGGCGGAGCTCCAGAACTCTGGGGAAGAGACGCCAAATCGCGAACGCACCACGCGCGCCTTCCCTGCCGCGCGCTGGGCCTCGGTGTGTCCATCCGCGCAACGGGTGGCAGGGGCGCCCTTACCGACGCCCAGATGGGAGATAGCCTCCAGCTCCTTGTGGGTGGCCGCCTGGAGGATGGCTCTGGGGAGCTGGAGCGGGAGGACCAGGATGTCCCTGGGGCCAGAGCGAGGAGCAGAAAGTCAGGGGTGACGGGTCCTGGGGTCTGCAAAGGGCTGAGAGGGTCTGCAAGGGTGTCCCCGGGAGCAGCGCCCTTTGGACACCAGGCACCCCGTAGGCACACTCACCGGGCATGGCAGTAGGCGCAGATGAGGTGGACCAGGTCCGGGAACACCAGCTCCGAGCCCTCCAAGGAGACGCCTGAGAGAGGGGCAGTCAGCTGCTCTCCGGGGAACCCCACAGCGCTCCCAGCGCCCTCCCCCCGGGCCCGCCGTCTCACCCCCGGGCCGCTCCAGGATGTAGTGGCTGGAGACGAAGGACGGGCCGCTGGCCTCGGGCAGCCGCACGCACAGGGCTTGGCACTGGCGAGTGTTGGATTTCCGCACCAGGAAGGTCTGCGTGGGGGGATGGGCGTTGAGGGCCCGGACCTCCAGCCCCCTCCCCCACAGTCGGCCGGCGGTTCCGGGGGGCGGGGCGGCACTCACCCCGGGGGGCTCGGTCCTCAGCGCGTGCAGCGCGGCCGCCGCGTTGGCCCGCAGCTGCAGCCACACGGGCCGGGTGAGCAGCAGGCGCTCCCGAAGGCTCACGGCGCGCCCGGG